GAAGAGGACTTAGATTTCTCTTTTAAGTTAAATTTATTAGCTTCTATAAGAGTTTAAAATTTGGGATGATTTTGCTTGTGGTCAGAAAAACCAAAGTAGTTAAAAAATCAACATATTAAATTTCTAAATTTGTTTAAAAATGTCTGAAGTACTGAGCTATGCTTGTAAACAAAAGCATAGCATTATTCAAACACTCCTCCAAAGTTACTGCCACCATCTACTAGACTTATAAAATAGAATAAAATTTGTAAGCTGAATTTAAAAGCATAAAAAATGTTTAAACTTTGCATCTGAAATGGAATATTGATTCTAAAGACAAAATTATGTTATGTATTAAATTAAATATAAACATTAAATTATTACTTTTCAAAGACAAATTTTAACATAAGTTTTTTTAAAAAGCCCCAAAATCTTTTCTATATAGGAAATTTACTGTCCAGGATACCAGAGTCCCCCACCCCCACTCCCTATGCCATGAGGTTTTCTAGAAATGGTTGCAGAAAAGCAAGAGATGCAGCTTTGTTCCTCAGCTTTTCTAGAAACCCCGGAACATCTCTTACCTTGTAGCAAGCTGAGGAGATTACGCCCCTGGCTTAGTTATTCTTCATTTTCTATCAGGCTAGGGTATCTCCTAGAATAGAAGGGGATGACCACTGGACTTGTGGTAAACCTGGGGTCAAGTCCCAGCTCCATTGCTTAAAAGACCCAAGGCTCAGTTTGCTCATCTGCAGAATGGGGGTGATACCTGCCTTGCAAGGTTGTTGTGAGGAACAGCATAGTACTCGGCCCTCATGCTGGATTCCTGAATGCAGAGAGGGTTGGGGCAAGGAGGCTCTTGCCTGAGCTCACTGGCCTGGGACACTCCCTCTTCTTGGCAGGACAGCTTCTTCAAAGAGATGGCCCTATGGCAAACAACAGATGCTCTCACTGTCCTCAGGATTGCCAGGTCCCAAAGCAATCTCTTACCACAGACAGAAAGAGGGCAGGCCAAGAGAAAGAGCTGACTCTGGAGCAAAACATCAGCCCTGTGAACAGGGTTAGCTCTCTGCAGGGAAGTGGCAGACATTGGCTGGAGCAAAGGGGAGGAGTTGCAAGAAGGGCTCAGACTCCCACCTGTGTTCACTGGGTCACCCGGGCACACAGCCTCAGTTGGAATATGCTTGGAGAGAGCTGCATGGGGAAGATCCCTACCTGGAGAAAAAGGAGAGAGGTGGCGTCCTTTCTGCACATACCTGGGAGGGGCGGGGTGGAGATCAGAATTACACCATCCCGTTCATTTATTCAATGCACATGACTTAGAAGCTTCTCTGTATTGTGAGGCCCTAAGCCTGCAAATATAAATCCTACACATTCTTGCCTTCCTGGATTAAGCCCCTGAGGATGTGTAGAGGTTGAAGTGACTGCTTCTATCTGGAGAAGTGGTGGGGAGGGCCCCAGGGAGAGGGAACGGTGGGAGCATGGCAGGGGGTATGGAGATGGAAGGCAGCTTCCTGGGACCATGAACAGCCCTGGTGAAGCAGTTGGTCTCCAGCTCGAGGGAGTCAAAGAGCAGCCAGTGAGGCTGGGAAGGTAGGTGGGGCCGGCTTGTGAAGGACCCTGAAGTCAAGTTCAGGTGTAAGGATTATATTGAAAGCCGAGGAAAAGTTTTAAGCAGGGGTTGCACCTTAGATCAAATGGGAATGTCCATAAGGGAGAGATGGAGTCTGTACACAAATACAGAAAGTACCAAGTTGTGCAAGTCCAGACTGGGGATGGTGAGGGCCTGACAGAAGGCAATGAGGCAATTAGAGATTGGAGCCTGGGACTACAGAATCGTCGTCTCTGTGGGAGTCTAGGCCATGGTGGGTGGAGGTCAGGCTATAAGGTCCCCAGGCCATATCACCCAGTCTCCCCTGTACACTGAGACCAGCACTTGTATGCTGCAGTTTCATCTTACCAGGCTCCCAAGTACATCCCATGACTGGCCTTTCTCCTGCTGGGAGAGAGATTTCAGCAGAGGTGGCAGCAGAGCAGTACCCACAGAAATCTTCAGTCCAGCTGAGAAGGGATGGAGACAACAGCAAGCATGCCAGGGAGGACACCAGTGCATCTCTGGCCAGCTGAGGGGCTCAAGGCCATTTAAGGACTTTCAGAAGAGCTTCAGCCAACTTACCACTGCTCCTTAGCATGAAGGCAGGGTGAGCCCCTGGGGTGGACACTTTCTGTCCATCTTGCTTTCCTTCTCTTTTCCCATCGGATTCCACTGGGCCAGAAGACAAGGAGTTTCCTGAGTAGCTAAGCTGGTCTTTCAGGAGCTTGCCACCTACAAAGAGTAATCAGTAGAAGCAGCAAAAACTAAGGATTATGTGGTAATCATCATTCTGTGGGGCAGAATAATGACTCCCCCTCCCCCATCAAGGATGTCCACGTGCTAATCCACAGTACCTGCGATGTATCCTACAAGGCAAAAGGGACTTTGCAGATGTGATTAAAGACTTTGAGTTGGGAAATAATCCTGGATTATCTGGATGGGCTCAATGTCATCAGCAAGGGTCCTAGGGAGGCTGAATGTAGTTTGGAGTGATGCCATGTGAAAGGGACTCAACCCCCATTCACTTTGAAGATGGAGGAAGAAAGCCACAAGCCAAGGAATATGGGCAGCCTCTAAAAGCTGGCAGAGGTAAGGAAACAGATTATCCCTTAAAACTTCCAGAAAGGAATGCAGCCCTGACACCACCTTGATTTCAGCCCAGTGAGACCCTTGTCAGACGTCCAGTGGATGAACTGGAATAATAAATAAGTTGTTTTGAGCTGCTAAGTCTGTGGTAGTTATGGCAGTGATCGGAAACAAAGTAGATCATAAGGCTGGCTCCTTGTCACTCAGCTCTTGGGTCAGTTGACTTGCAGAGAGACCTCCTTTGGCCATTCTACCCACAGTCATCCTTTCTTCACTCTCTAGTCACTGGCACTTTGCCGTTTCACCCAGTGTTGTTTGGTAGTTGTGATGCTTGTGTTGACCTGATTTCCAGCCTTCCCCACTAGAGTAAGCTCCATGAGAGAAGGCATCTTGGTTATTTGTCCATCACCATATCCCTAGTACCAAGAAAAGTGCCTACACACAATGGAAGCTCCACAAATGTTTGATGGGTAGATGGGTGGATAAATGAATATGATGGTGCACTGCTATGTCATGGGCACACTAATGACATGAAACCTATTGAGACAGAATGCTCAGTGGTTGTTTACCATAGTTATGACCTGCAAAGGCTCAACCAAAACATACACACTCTGCTTTTTCATCCTACAGATGACTAATCAGTCACACCTCCTCAAAGGCTCTTATCAAGCCTTTAGAGATCTCAGACTGTTGCCGCTATAGGCCTCCTAGAAGTATTTATGCAGAGTAAAATATTATAAATGTCCTCTGCCAAACAGAATCAGAGGGGAATATATGAGATCATCCATGAGTACATATGCTAAGTGTTCCCTCTAGGTCAAATACTCTGGGAAGAAAGGCCAAGCTGGTTTTAGAAAAAGTGTTGGCTTCTCAGACTTTTTTCAGTATTTTCTAGCTCCACAATCTGTTTCTCCAGGAAATGAGTTGCCAGTCCAGTCCAGGATTGCAAACAAAACCCAGGGAAGACTGGCTGAGCTAAGGCTGCTGTCCGACTGTGCAGTGGAGGCAACAGGAAAAGAGATGAGGAGGCAGAAGTGGGGGCAGGGAGTGTGAGGGAAGGATGCATCAAGATCTAATTTGAGGGGGAAAAAAAAGATCTACTTTGACTGCTATACTTGCAAATTTAATCAAGACACCCTTGGGGCACCCAGCAAGGACAAAATGTTGTTTATTGAATTCGTTTTGGAAACAGACGACATGAAAGGTTTCTGTGAGCTCAATCGAAGAGTCGTGATTGCTTCCTGTCATCAAATGTCAACCATAGGAAAATCCTAGCATAAATAATGAAAACGAATCTAGGAGAGAAAAAATGGTTAAAAACACCTCAGCTATCACTCTTCCAATAGCCCTCTGATAGCTAACATGATCATAAACATCAATCAAATTTTTATAGGTACAGTCTACTGCACAAATATCAAGTGTGTACATCGATGGTAAAGTTGTAAACTGGCTAACAGTCATCAGCAATTAAGTATACTGGGTCTATACTGAAACCCCCATTCTCATTTTAAGAGCTTATATATTTAATTGATGACTGCTCTCCTCATCAGGGACATTTAAGACATGGAAAAGGCATTTATATACACACGCACGCATGCACATGTGATTAACCTTACAAACTGAAAAAGTAAGCCCAAGCATGATTGATTAATTTGCCTGGATCAATAAATACTAGTCTCAAATGTTAAGTGTACTAATAAGGACAGAAGCTGTCAGTTACATAAATCATCATGTTGCTACCTACTGATGTTCCATTTGCTAATGCATGTTAGTCAATCTGTAGACTTTATCCAACACATACACAGAGATGTTTTTTTTTTGTTTGAAATTCTCAGCCAATCAGCAGATCTCTTTTGGACATTTCTCTCCCATCATTCTTAGAATGAAAATGAAATAACTCTTAAATTTCTAAATTCCCAGCCATCAAGAGCACAATTCTGATCATATTTCAAATCTTCAGCCAGAAGGGAAATGCCATCAAGAGTTAAATGAGAAGGTCTCATCGCCATGGCAGCTTAGACTGATCTTCACCTTCTCCCAGCACCCTCTTGCCATATTGGAAGCCAAGGTGGCTCATCTCTTTGAGATTTCATAAACATCAACAGGAAGGGTCAGAGGAGGAGCCTTGTCTTTTTTCCTGGAGCTGTTATCAGTGAGACAGACAACTACAAAGAGGAGGATAGGAATTCAAGGTGGATAAAAGCCCCCAGACCTGGAGGGAGCAGCAGAAGGATGCAGCACCGTGCCATGGCCTGCAGCCCCCAAGTGCTTCACGTGTTAGAAATTCCGGGCATTTCTTTAACCACAGGGAATAAACATCCTTCCAAAAGGTCCTGCCCACATGTCCCCTCTCTCCCCGCACTGTAAAGCATAGAAACATTCCATTTTCCATGCTTCCTGGAAGAATCCTCTGCCCATGAGGCAAACTGGGTCTCCCCACCCCAATGCAGCTTTTCCCAGAAACCATGAAATTCGCAAATTTACATAGGCCACTGTGGATTCAAGTCCAGCTGCTTCTAGAGCTCTGTGACATAAGAGCTCTGTGCACCATAGATCTCTTTATCCTGACCCACTTCCAGTCTCTTTTCCCAGGAGCTCTGCTTGTGATTTTAGTGTGAAGATTCACCCCAGTGGAAATGAACAGTGCAAGATCCCACGTGCAAAATTTGCAAACTTTTTTTTTGAAACAACACACATTTTAAAAATTCAAGTCAAATCCAGGTACAGGCTAGTTGGTTGGTATCAGTTGGCCCCTCACACCCACCATAGGAAAGCATGATAAGAAAGTCTGTTTCTGAAATGAGAGAGACAGGAGGCATCTGGGGGTGAGTTCCTTGAGCTTGAGAGGAAGCCTATGAGGGAAATGCTGAGGCTCAATGAAAGACAGGGCAGCTCCAGCCTCACAGCCCCTCTGGGTCAAAAGCCAAAGGCCTCTGTGCAAGCAGCACATAGGATATGGATGTAGGTGAGGACAGATCCTTACCCACCAGAGGGGTAACTTTCCCAGCAATTCTGAAACTAAAATAAGGCAGGCACATTCCCAGAGCCCTGCTGAGTAGGGGCTGCAGGCTATTTTCACTCTACACAAAATGGGGGAGAGGAGTTCCCTCTTCACAAATTTTTCACTCATAACCCACCGCATCACAAGGAACCTAAAGGGAAACTCCAAAGGCCAACACATCCTTGGTGGTTGTACGTGTGGTCCTGACAACCTCCTGCTCCAGAAATGCCAGAAGTACTGGATATGTCATTGGGAACATTAGGCAGTCCAACATCGGAGGAGGAAAGGCCCAGAGATGAGGATCTGAGTCAGGCTGGCAAGGCTGGAGTCAGAAAGTGACCATTAGGCAATTGGTCACTACAATTGGTGGCTACAAAGAACTGGTCAGTCATCAAAATGAAGAGGTTTACAACAGCGGTTTCCCCTTAAGGCATTTTGACCAGGACAGTACCCTGAAAGAAATAAGGCAGCATTGCCTAAAGCAAGAGGCCCCTCAGTAATCCATGGAGATGGCGGTGTCCTCATCCTGGTTGCATAACAGGAGGTGGAAAGGCCTGGGGGTGGCGACTCAGCTGAGGGAAGCACAGTTCAGCTCTGAGCCCTCCTGGCTGCCCCTGGCCCCCTCCTCCAGTCCGTCAGGGCTATCGGTGATGTTGGGCTCGCTGGAGCACTGCCGGTGGGGTGGGGGGAAGCTGGGTGGCAGGAGAAGGCACTTGTCCTCACTGCTAGCCTCCTCCCCCAGGCCTGAGTGCATCATGGAGGCCATGGCCAGCAGCTGGATGTCCGAGTGGGCGTTGGCCACCGTGTGCCGCCGCACGCTGCCACACTTCTCCAAGTAGGCTTCCCCCTCCTGCTCCGTCAGTGGGGTCAAGACCATCTCATTCAGTGGCCGGCTGACTGCGGTTATCGGGGAAGCATAGTTCAGGACAGTCACCTTGGGCCGGACCCTGGAGTGCCGCCTGGCTGCAAGAGAAGAATCAGCAAAGACTGTTATTGGGGAGGGGGTACTGGTGCTCAAAAGCTCCTAATCCAACTGGGGGAAAAGAACAAGGTGGTGGCTCAACCTTTAGGAGCAGCTCTTAAGTGCAGCCCTGCTACAACACAAGGGAGGAATTTGGTGATACCTAAATGTTTCTCTTACAACTTTACCTGTGTATGCCAGATCCGGTCCATAACCAACCCTACCCCACATATTAGGTGGTCACCAACAGACTTTCCTTGACAGATAAGGGTCAAGGGAATCTGGTGTGTTTCTCAGCTGCTGCCTGAGCTTCGTCGGATGTGCCCTAAAATTCCCTTTCAAACAACGTCCCCTGAGGACCTGGGCATGGGATGGCCAGCTTCCAAAGGAAGCACCCTGGCTTCCTGCAGGAGTGGCCTCTCCCATGCCAACAGATGACATAAAAGAGCCTTCATAAGCTGAAATCCAGAGGAAGAGATAACTGGGGAGTTACCTCAGTTGTCAAACCCAAGGTAGCAGGACTGTCTTGCAAATCATAGGGAACCAAGGCTATCAATGACCCTCATCTCCCGCCAGGTCAAGGGTCTCAGACCTACGTTCTGTTCAAGTCAATTCTCCTGGACTGTCTTTAGCATCACCAAAGAACAGGCTAGGTTCCATGGACACCCCAAGGAGGCAGACACAGGAAGACTGGGTACTAATTATAAAACTGCTGCTTTTTGGTTTTGAGACAGTTTTGCTCTTGTTACCCAGGCTGGAGTGCAATGGTGTCATCTCAGCTCACTGCAACCTCCGCTTCCCAGGTTCAAGTGATTCTCCTGTCTCAGCCTCCTGAGTTGCTGGGACTACAGGCGCCCACCACCATACCCAGCTAATTTTTGTATTTTTACTAGAGATGGGGTTTCACCATGTTGGCCAGGGTGATCCTGGACTCCTGACCTTAGGTGATCCACCCGCCTCAGCCTCCCAAGGTGCTGGGATTAAAGGTGTGAGCCACCACGCCCAGCCTACACTGCTGCTTTTGAATTCTCATCATGTTCCAGAAACTGCTAAACTTAGACATTTTATCCTTTGAATCCTCCCCAAAACTGAACCTAATTCATGGTCTAGTATCAGCTTCCACTTTCCAGATGAGAAAACTTGAGTCTCAGAGAGGACGTAGCTTCCCCAAGGTCATATGGATAGAAGGTAGTTTAAGCTGGGACTCAAACAAGGTCGGTCTCTCTCCAGACCCTTGCTCTTCTAGCTGCCCATCCAAGGCCCAGAGATAACTAGGGTAGGTGAAATACCTCAAGGGAAAGACAAGCCAAGTGGAGGTGCTTCGAGGGCTGGAAAAAGCATGCCCATCTGGAGATAGGAAACTTGCCAGGAGGATGTACACGGGAGATGGACCTTGAGGATGGCAGAACTCCCAGCAGCGGGGAAGGGGTGACAGAGTTCTGAGCAATGGCAGCAGCCTGAGACAGCTGCTGAGACAGGTGCACCATCAGGTCACAGCCTGGCTGGAACAGAGTCCAGGAGACAGTAGAGAGGTGCCCGGGCAGGCAGATGGAAGCACCTGTAGTACATCAGCCAGGTCACAGCAGAGCTGCGGGGACACAGTTAACATCGAAGGTCACAGGGCAGGATGGGCTGTGCTCAGGAAGCTTCCTTGGGCAGAAGTATGGCAGAATGGGCTGGAGCCAGCAAGGCCAGCAGCGAGGAAAGCCAGGGAGAAGGTTCGGGTATTATGTTCTATAATAAATATGGATTGCATGTGAAAAAAGGTAATGCTAACATCAGAGTCAAAGTGAGAGGTGATGAGGAAAGGAAGTAGAGTTGTGGTGATATGGGTAAAGTGAGGATGACCGCTGGAGACACCACAGAGATACTACAGAACCCCACAACTAAGAGATCCTGGGAGCGGGGCAGGGAGGAGGAGCTGTGGGACGGAAGGAGGGAACAGCAGACTTGGGAGAGGGGCAAGGGATGGGGAAGATGAGGAGAAGGCAGCTCGTGAGACCCAGTGCCGGGGCCTGGCCACATCGCATCTGAGATGCTGAAGGGGCAACCTCCACGGGCAGACAGACATGCAGTTTTGAGCTGGGAAAAGAAATTTCTATCTAAAGACAGAAATTTGGTCATTTTCAAATAATATTTAAGGACAGTGAGAAATGTTGATAATATTTGGTAACAAACGCAGAATATAAACAACAGTATTATATGCATTTTATCCCTTTTTAAGCCAAACTGGGGTTATACTGGGTGCTATATTCACCCACCACACTTATGTATAAAAACTGGGAAAGGCTACATCAAAATATCTAGTTATCATCTCTGGGTAAAGGTATTACCCAGTGATTTTTAAAATTTCTTTATCTTTTCATTGATATGTCTTTAAAATTTTCATTCCATATGTGGGCATTTCTTTTACGACAAGAAGAAAACATTTTAGGATATGAAAATCAAAGTCCTCTGGAAATTAGTAATGGCTGGGGCCCTCCGAGTGAATGTGACCTCTCTGAAAATGAAGATGGGGTAAAGGACTAAATTATTCTCGTGTGTGCACCTGTGCTGGGTGGATAAAATGAGAGGAGCTAACAGCACTACTTTCAGAGGGGCTAAAGTATTAACAGCTAACACACAGGATAGCACTTCAGAGCGTTGGGTGCTGATCTGAGCATCTTGTATCTATGAACTAATTATCAACCTAATGAAGTGGGTACTGTTATCACCACTGTCACTTTACAGATGGGGAAATTAAAGCACGGAAGAGGTTAAATAACTTGTTCCACATTACAAAGAAGAGGCAGAGCTGGGACTGGAGCACAGATGGCAGCCTCCAAAAACCAGGTGAGCCTCATTGCCTTTCCAGAAGGAAGGAAACCCAAGGGTGGGTCAGAGAGGCAGGAGAAGAACCAAAACACTCAGGTAACCAAAGCCTGGGGAGTAGAGTCCCAAGAGAGGAAGCAAATCTGACAGCAGCACCCCGGTTCCCGGGGCCTCTGCTCTCCCACCTTCACACAGGCTGCGCCAGGGCAGAAACCTGCACAGAGTTTGAAACAGAATAAGCACCACGACAAGGCTGGGTCCCTTGGTCCCAGAGAAGTCCCCCAACCCATGCTCCTCTCAAGGCAGTGCTGCTTCCTCTGCCACCTAGGCCCGGTATCATGTTAGGAGCTGGATGGCTCTGGACCTGAGAGAGGCGGAGGCATGGGACAGTCCAGCCACTGCAGCTGGTCTGGCCTGGGAGAGAGTGAATTTGAAGGCACGGCCATGGGAGAAACACAGCTTCAGAGGGCTGGGGGATGGGTAGGTTCTGTTCTGGGCCTCTTCTTTTCAGCCTCCCTTTCTGCCAGAGCACACCTCTCCCCAGCTTCCCATTCACACACCCAATTTCACCTGTCCCTGCCTTCCACAGTGCCCATATCTCTGACACCCTGAAGACCCAAGAGAAAGGTGTTCCCTCTGCCATCCAGGCAGGACAATGCAGTGGGGAGAAAGGGAGCGGGGCCGATGGCATCAGTATTCCCACCACACTTGGGCAGGAGGGGGAACACCCCACTTTCCAAGAGGAAAGCAAATCATGCTGTTCACAGACTGGCCGTGGGGACATGTGGCTCATGCTGCTTTAGTTTCCTCTCTGCTCTTGCAGTGGATCTGGAGGGCCCTAGACACGTGTGTCAGCCACTTCCAGAGCCCATGCTCCCGGAAGGAGATCACAGCAAGACCTGCCCACATCCATGTGCAAAGCTCACAGCAGCTCCTGTCATCAGACTGTTGTGTGTGTGTATAAATGATGAAGATAATACAATTCTAACCCTTTGGACTAAATCTTGAGTCTGCTGGCTCAGAAGCCCAAGGGGCCTATTTGGTGGTAACAACAATTTTTCAAAATTAAAGGATAATACATAGAATTTAGAGTGTACAGTGTGTTCCCACCCAGGATCTCGCTGTTTAGTCCCAATCTCCCTCCAAAACAGAGTTGTTCTCAGTATGCCCACTGCACAGATGAGGAAGACTGAGGATCAGCCCCAGTTCTCTTAGGTTCCAGATGGCAGCGCCCAAACTTTCCCCACTACATGCTGCTGTGTCTCAGGGGACTGCTGCTGCTCTTAGAAGACATGTCCCTTGAAGCGCCCCCCGCCCCCCCCACTGAAGTCAAGTAACAGCAAACACTGCCCCCCAGCAGGTGCTAGACAAGTAGCTGACACTGGCTCCCCTCTTTGGAGATAAGAGACAAAACGCCAAGGAGCAACCCAGAAGAAAGCATCTACGCCAGGCACTGGCAGCAGTTCTTTGTGAAGCATGGACGCTCCTACTCTCCAAGTTACACATTTCTAAAATGTTTCCACATTCTTATAACCTGCATTACTTTTATGATCTCCAAAATCAATAACTATAAAACAGAAGCACCAGAAGAGTTCAAAGCAGCAAGGATCCCACTGAAAAACTGTCCTTAAAAAAAAAACGCCCTTGAGAACAATTCATTTCTCTCTCACTGCTGATAGAAGTACACACTTTAGATTGCTGTTGGGAAACCCATGTTGGGACCTGAACCCTACAGCCAGCCTAGCAGGAGACGGGAAAAGACCTATCTGGGGAGCATTTGCTGCATGCAGATGTCTGGGCTCCTGAGACGGGGTACCTACCTGCCAGGAGGGCTTTGTGCAAAGGGTAGGGCAAAAGAGGCAGACAGTAGCAACATTATTTCTATTGTTGCTAGAGATTTCGATAATTTTGTTTGTTTGTTTTGAGACGGAGTCTCACTCTGTCGTCCAGGCTGGAGTGCAGTGGCGCGATCTCAGCTCACTGCAAGCGCCACCTACTGGGTTCACGCCATTCTCCTGCCTCAGCCTCTCGAGTAGCTGGGATTACAGGCGCCCGACACCACGCCCGCCTAATTTTTTGTATTTTTAGTAGAGACGGGGTTTCACTGTGTTAGCCAGGATGGTCTCCATCTCCTGACCTCGTGATCTGCCTGCCTCGGCCTCCCAAAGTGCTGGGATTACAGGCATGAGCC